GGCGCTGTCCCTCAGCTCTTCAGCTCAAGGCTAGTGCTCTACCACTTAAGCCACAGCGCCACTTCCAGCTTTTTCTGCTTATGTGGTGCTGAGGAATGAACCCAGGGCCTCATGTATGCAAGACAAGCACTCTTCCACTGAGCCACCTTCCCAGCCCTCCCTTCCCCTTCTTCCCTTCCTTTTTCCACTCTTCCCTTTTTCCTTTGTACACGCTAGACAGGTCCTCTCATCACTGAGCTTCATTTCAACCACTATGATAGACCCACACACCAACTGTTATCTTCCTCCTCTTTCTCATTTTTTTTTTTTGAGAAAAGTTCCCACTTTGTAGCCCTGGCTGGCCTTGAACTTGCCCCTGAACTTCTAAGTGCTGGGATGACACACAGATGACACCACACTCAGCGCATGGCAGACTTTGTATCCATTTCCTCCTCCTTCTGACTCAGTAGTTGTTGTGTGCTGTCTGCACATTAAAGTGTGCTCTGAAGTGTTCAGATGAAAGCAGTCTGCTGAATATGTGAACTGTATTTTGCATCCATGTGTGATGTCCCCTTTTCCCCTAAGTGTGGGACTGGGGATTCTGGAAAGGCCACAGCGCGTTTGTCTTTCTATAAACAGGAGTCTCCCCTCCCAGCATGAGTGTGATTTTGCCATTGGAGTTTCAGGAAGATCCCTGGGTGGCAAAGAGCCATGTGACAACTCCAGGAGAGCTGAATGGTTGGGAAGGGGCCAAAAGCGTGAGTGCAGGTAAGAGCTCAGATGTGCAGAGAGGGAGCTGGGGAACCTGGGCACAAGTGGAAGTTTTCTGTAGGAAAACCAAAGTGTCTCTGCTGTGAGCCCTAAAGGACTTTAGAATGTGTCCATTTGTGCCCAGAGTAATATGCCATTCTGTGTCTCCACTACATTTCCTGTGTGCTTTGAAGCAGTCCCATGCTGACTCTCCAGCTAATGGTGGGTGTGCAGTACCCGGGTGTCTCTTCTGAGTAGTTTAATGGAGATAAGAGCCTCACAGACTTTCTTTCCTGGGCTGGCTTTTTTTTTTTTTAATTTTAAAGGGAATTACTTTTTCATTCTATCATGGCTTGCTCTTTTGTTTTTCTTTTTTTTTTTTTCTTTTTTGGTACTGGGGACCAAACCCAGGACGTTGCACTTGCTAGGCAAGCGCTTTGCCACTGAGCTACATCCCAGCCCGCTCTTTTGTTTTTCTTTGAGGAATTTGACTAGCATCTAAATGTAGTCAGCATGCATTGTGCCACACATCTCCTGTTAAGGTTAAATTCTGTTTGCTGTGTGTGGGTGTAGGCAGCTTATTGTATATATTGCAGGTGTTTTTGTCTTGGGTTTTTTTCCTGGCATTGTTGGATTGTGTTCTTACCTTTTTCTCACCTCTGCTTTGCAATTCAAATTTACCTGTTAATTCATTCTGTAAACCGCTTTTGGCTCTGAATCATTACAACATATTGTGTGATGTATGGCATTTATTTGTGCATAGTCAATATGTTGCAAATAGGCTTTTTTTTCTGTTTGCTTATAATGTAACCATATGTCTTTTGGCAGTTAGGTGTGTTGGGTGGGGGTGGGAGTTCTGTCTTCTTGATGAGTTCTGTCTCCAGGATGCATGTTTTACTCATAGGTTGTAACAAGGCTTACCTTCTCTTAATAATCTACTTTCCAATGAAAGAGTCCTATTCCTTTTGTGTTCATAAATATTGTATTTTATGGTTCTCAGCATTCATATGGCTCAGGTGTGTGTGTGTGTGTGTGTGTGTGAGAGAGAGAGAGAGAGAGAGAGAGACAGAGAGAAAGAAAGAGAGAGAGAGCTTTGCCTGTGGTATTCTCTTTCAGGGTGAAATACTTAACTCTGATTAATTAGATGGGCATTTTATATCTTGCAGGTACCTCTCCTGGCTGTGTAATTAAAGAATTACCCCTAAAAGCAGGCAGCGGTCATGGAGAAATATCCGGAAGTCAGCCTTGTTCCCTGAAGCATCACAGGCGGATCCACACTGTGGAGAAGTTGCACTGCTGTGCTAAGTGTGGGAAGGCTTTCTGCATATGTTCCCGTCTCCTGGATCACGAGCAACGGAGCCATAACAGCTCAAAGCCATACCTCTGCACACAGTGTGGGAAGGCTTTCTCTAGACGTTACTGTCTCTTGGATCATGAGCGATGCCATAGTGGCGAGAAGCCCTACGTCTGTGCAGAGTGTGGGAAGGAGTTCAGCCTCATGTCCAGCCTTGCTGTTCACTGCCGGATACACAGTGGGGAGAAGCCATACCGGTGTGGCGAGTGTGGCAAGACCTTTGTTGCGCTCTGTATGCTCACCAATCACCAGACCATGCACAGTGGGACGAAGCCCCACCACTGTGCTGAGTGTGGGAAGGCATTCAGCCAGGCCTCTGGTCTCACTGTGCACCGTAGGACACACACTGGGGAGAGGCCGTACTGCTGTGCCGACTGCGGGAAGGCATTCAGCCGGGCCTACAGCCTCACCGTGCACCGCAGGATGCATACTGGGGAGAGTCCGTTTGTGTGTGGTGTGTGTAGCAAGGCCTTCAACCTGCGCCGCAGTCTTTTGGCACACCAGGCGTTACACACTGGCTGCAAGCCGTACAGCTGTGCTGAGTGTGGGAAGGGGTTCAGCCATGCTTCTGGCCTTGCCACGCACCGCAGGTTGCACACTGGGGAGAGGCCTCACCGCTGTGCTCAGTGTGGGAAGGGGTTCACGCATAAAACTGAGCTTGTGCGCCACAGCAGGAAGCACACTGGGGAGAGACCATACCACTGTGCCGAGTGTGGGAAGGTATTCAGCCAAGCCTCTGGCCTGGCCGTGCACTGCAGGACCCACACTGGGGAGAGGCCGTTCGTGTGTGACGTGTGCAGCAAGGCCTTCAACCTGCGCTCCAGCCTCTCAGCACACCAGGCCTTGCACACTGGCTGCAAGCCGTACAGCTGTGCTGAGTGTGGGAAGGCATTCAACCACGCCTCTGGCCTTGCCACACATCGCAGGCTGCACACGGGGGAGAGACCTCACCGCTGTGCTCAGTGTGGGAAGAGGTTCCTGCAGAAAAGTGGCCTTGTGCGCCACAACAGGACGCACACTGGGGAGAGGCCATACCGCTGTGCCGAGTGCGGGAAGACGTTCACTGTGAAAAGCAACCTCACAGACCACAGCAGGACGCACACCGGGGAGAAGCCATATGCCTGCAGTGTGTGCGGCAAGGCCTTCAGCAAACGTACCTGCCTCAATGCACACCAGACTGTGCACACTGGACTCAAAGCGTACAGGTGTGACAAGTGTGTGAAGGCATACAAGAATGCCTCTGGTCTTGCAGCCCATCGCAGGACGCATACCGGGGAGAAGCCATACGCCTGTGACATGTGCAGCAAAGCATTCAGCACACGACAGACCCTCACCAAACACCAGGCTGTGCACAACGGCCGCAAGCCTCATTAGTGCATGGAGTGCAGCAAGGAGATCCGCCCGCCGTGTCACCCACCTTGCGCACTGCAGGTCGCAGAGGCCATAGGTGTGCGGTGAGAGAGGCAAACCTGAAATTCCCACTCCCAACCACAGCAGCCACTGGGGTCCACACACCAGCCCTGCAACTGCCAAAATGTGGGAAGACATTTGTGCAGAACATGTGTCTTAGGTGGCACATGGAATCAGATGTTCAGCTGAAGTTCCAAACTCAGCCATCACAGGCTTCAGACCCAACAGAAAACTTGGGGTGAATGCATCAGGGCAGGATCCATCCTTGTGCAGCCTCCGAGGACTCCTCAACAGAATATAAAAGCAAGGATGACAACTGCAGGCAGGGAGTTCTGCTGAGTGGGCTGTTTCCTGCTGTCACCCCAGAAGGGGATGGAGAGTTCCAGAGCAGCCTGAGCTATATAGCAAGATCCTAATTTTTCTAAACAGTTTGAGAATAGCTGTCACCAAGAGCAGAACACAGAAATTCTTGTCATGCACACAGCAGAAGCTCAAATATGCGCCTCAATCAGACGAGAAAGACTTCTTGCTGAAACCATCCAGGCCAAGAGCTTGCCTCTACACGGGACAACTGGGATCCATTGGCTCCCTCGTTCTCCACTGTGAACTTCTCTATTCTACCTGCCAGAGAATGCCAAGCTGAGAATAGGTCACAGTGAGATTATTCAAAGTGCAGGTAGGGGGGTGGGAAGTCGCCACTGTCCTTGGGTTTGTAGAACTTCTGTTGGGAGGGGCACTTTTGATTTCAACACCAAAACTGCTGTGGAACAATTCTCTGGGGGAAGGTGAGCTTTGAGCCATCTGGGGGATTCTTCCACCAAGTACCGCCAGGCCACTATATAGGACTGGTTCAGGATGCCCCTTGTGGCCAAAAATAACAGTCTGGGTGGCATAAATTTTACACAAGTTAAAAGTGTCTGTAGAAGGCCACCTGGTTCTAATTGTTGCCCATTGTAGGTGACAAAAGGTTGTTAAGGGGCTGGGGAGGTGGCTTAGTGGTAGAGCACTTGCCTTGCATGCCTGAGGCCCTGGGTTGGATTCCTCAGCACCACATAAGCAAAAAGAAAAAAGCTGGGAGTGGCGCTGTGGTTCAAGTGGTAGAGCGCTAGCCTTGAGCTGAAGAGCTGAGGGACAGTGCCCAGGCCCAGAGTTCAGGCCCCACGACCAGACCCCAAAAAAGTTAATTTACCAGGGAAAACATGATCTCCTGACTCCTCTGCCCTTTTCCTAAAGTCTAAAATGATGCAGAACTAAATCCAGAGAGGAGTCTTAACATGTCTGTCCCATGTTAAGAATTAAACCTGTCAACAAACCAGCAAGCAAAAGCAAAAACAAACACTGGCATAGAAATTACTAAAGTTTGTTCTCCGATTATATTCAAAAGTATTAGGATACCCCTGAAAATAATCTAGCCCTCCCAAAGAAGGCAATCAATAGAAGGTCAAGGCATCCCTTGACCACCCTGGTCTCAGAGAGTAATACTGGGTCCAGTTTCTCTCTGCTCTAGGCCTCTCAACCAGGAAGTGCATCTCAAACACACAAACTCACCTCTGGAGGCTTTCCCAGGAGATTCTTCTTTATGGGGCCCATTCAGTGGGACTGGAACCCACAGTCTGCTGCCCCAAATGGTTAAGGGCTCTATCCCGGACGAGCCCCCAGCTAAATGTGGGGTCAAGAGAAAGAGTCCACCACTTAAAGCTCAAAGATCAGAATTAAGCTTTATTACAGAGGAGCTCTACTGACCAGCCAGGGACACAGTACAGACTCGGAACTGCAACTGTGACCCTGTCCTGCCAGAAGGTAGGAGTTTTAAAGAAAAACACAATCAAGTGTTTTACGAGGCAAGCAAGTTTCCAAGAATAAACACAGCAGGTTTTTTGTTTTAAGATTTACAGCACAAAAAACATGATCTTTACACAGACATCTGGGTATTTCTGAGCCAAACAGGACATGGCTCTTGCCCCAATCAGACTGCAGTGTAGCAGAATATTTTTCTCTTATGCAGCAACTTCAGGGAGGAGGGGAAGAGTGAAGTGAGCTCCTGGTCAAGATGGTGTTACTTTGGTCAAGCAAGGCCTCAATAGGGACAGTAAGAGGACATGGAGGAACAAAAGGTGAACAAATGCAGCAGTGTTACTCACTGGACACTGGGAAATGAACTCTACAACTTGTGGGTGAGGATAGGAGGCAAAACCTGGGAGAGAGTGAGGGAAGGGTAACAATCTACTCATTACCTGACTTGCTTATTTAACTGTACATCCTCTGAACATCCCCTTCATAATAATTTTTTCTAAAACCACCGGGTTCTGGTGGCTCACGCCTGTAATCCTAACTACTTAGGAGGCTGAGATCTGAGGATTGCGGTTTAAAGCCAGCCAGGGTAGGAAAGTCCATGAGACTTAATTTCTAATAAACCACTAGAAAACTAGAAGTGGTGCTGTGGCTGAAGTGGCAGAGTGCTTGCCTTCAGCTGAAGAGCTCAGGGACAGCGCCCAGGCCCAGAGTTCAAGCTCCATGACCAAAAAATATTTAAAAAGAAAAGCTCAGGAATAGCACCCAGGCACTGAGTTTAAATTCTAAGATGGACACCAGAACAGCAGAAGAACAAACCAGTAACTTCTGTGGTATGATTCATGTGATAAGGAAACCAGAGGGTCATGGTACTTGGCTGCTGAAATTCTGAAAATCTGTTTGGTCTGCTTTTGATAATTAGTTGTTTTAAAACAGATTCTGAAATAAGAACTCAGGTACCAGGCCCTGTCGCTGATCTTTATTGCTCAAGGCTAGTTAGTGCTCTACCATAGCAGCCACAGCTGGCCTTTTGGTGGTCAATTGGAGATAAGAAGCTCATGTCTTTACTGCATAGGCCGCCTCTGGAACTCAATCTCCAGATCTCTGCCTCCTGAGTAGCTAGGATTACAGGTGAGAGCCTGGCTAAAATCATGTTTTTTTTTTTTCTTAGAATATTAAGAGGTACACCTCCAGGTAATACAGCATTTTTGTTATTGTTTTTGGTCGATCTTGGGGCCCGAACTCTGGGAGTAGGTGCTATCCCTCAGCTCTTCACTCGAGGCTAGCACTCTACCACTTAAGCCACAGCGCCACTTTGGCTTTTTCTGTTTATGTGGTGCTGAGGAATTGAACCCAGGGCCTCATGCATGTGAGGCAAGCACTCTACCATTGAGCCACCTTCCAAGCCAGTAATAGAGTTGTATAATCTGTTCTTACCAGAACTATTCTTGTACCAAAGACCAGAGTAATTCTCCCTGACATATTTAATGCTGTGGAGAATCGGTGTGTCTAAATTTCAGTTGCTATAGTGGGGATTTCTTCTCACACTCTGCTGGATAGGCTCGTGTCAGGGCCACAGTCCCTCTGTGACCCAGTCAAGCCATGTATGACTCTCCCACTTCAAGTTAAGGAGCATTCAGAGAAGAGGTAGGAGTCCATTTGAATAGTAGTTTTCAGCCCAGAATAGCTCTGAGACATTGTTAGCTGCTTCGTAAACAACTATCAGGCTCTCTTAGAATGACAAACTCCTGAGAGAATGTGTATGTTAGGTAAACTCAACACCTTTTTTTTTTTTTGG